TGTACTCACCTCAGTTGTATACTATAAGACATAAATGCAGTTATAGCAGTTAGAACAGATAGATCCATGAACTGAACCTTTGGTTAGATAACAGAGCCAATATGTGAAACGGAAAAGATACAGAAGCTGTACAATAAGCTGTATAAACAAATCTCTAACTGCAATGACACCAAACTCATACTACAGCACACAATGTACATAGGACTGGCCTTGAAACTTGTGTATCTGTCTATGCTCCCCTGCCTTATCTTTATCCTGATATTGTGTTACTTTCAATACAGTGTACTGCTCGATGTGTTGACCTTGTGAGCCCCATATGACGTGAAGCAATGAAATGCTAACTGGAACAACAAATAATATAGAAGTCCAGTTTCTTAAACACACAAATATTACAAGAAGTTTGGTAATGCACTTGAGATGTAAACCTTTTTGGATCACCATCAACGTGATAGGCAATAGGTGCCTTTCAGCTGCATACAGCTCAAAAGTGGTCGACTTGACTGAGATGCAAGAGACGTGTGTAGTGTGAAGATGGAGAAAATAGGTGTTCCAAAAAAGGATATCCATGAACTGTCCAGTTTCAAACTAAAGGGAAGATAACTACTCATGATGCACCTCATATGAGCTGTGAAATGTGTCTTGTTGACTGTTGCTTCACCATTTAATACTGCAGACACAATCAGCATGTCATAGAATGTGACTGGGAGAAATAATGTAATATGTATTTTATTTTTTTACTGAAAGAACTGAATACACAAGGGTCCAGTAAAAGCAGAAATTAATATTCTACATAAACACTATCTTCTGCATATGTAGTGACAGACCACATGTAGAGCCAATCTAATGTATTTTTCATTCTGTGACTGACTGATAAAGGTGTGACTGTGTAGATGCATTAGACTTCTAGTTGTCGGTTTTTCTGCAACAGCCAGGATAAAAATGGAAAGGAAAAATAGAAAAGAGAAAACAGATAAAACAAAAACAAAAACAAAAACAACCGCGATCGTCATCAGATCAGCTGATGCAGCTGAGCCAATCAAAAAAACACATTACATTGTTGCCACCTGGCAAAAACTTCAGCAACAGTGTTACAACTGGCAGGATGAAAACTTTCACTCAAGTTGTAATAACCCACAGTTAGAATCAGATCACATTCTAAACTCGTGTTCATCCTGCGTTATTTGCACAAGTTTGACTGCTAGATGGTGGAGACAGTGTTTATTGGCCTCAAACAACCACTGAACCAAATGTGTGGAATAATGAAGCAGTGTACACAGATTGTGTTTATGCAAATTGAGTCTGGGTTTTTGTCTCAACTGGAAGCTCCTGTTCCCCACTCCCTTTCCTCCTGCCTCCACTTGTTCATAAAATCATGATTAAGACGTTTTGTTGCCAAAATTAGTTCTGGGTGTATTTCTTCACATAAATTGTAACGCATGCAACACATAAATCACACCATTTATCTTGTTGTGGCGTTTCTGTTTACGCCAGGTAACCCAGATCCATTTCTAAATTTGAATAGAAATGCTTAATGTATCACAAACATCAGTAAAAAATAAAAAAAGCCCTCAAAACCCTGTCAGTTAATTTAACCTGATTCACACAATCATAGTTTATGCCATCTTAAACCAGACAGAAGCTTGTGTGCTGATGCCCCAGGGTGTAACAGACATATCTGAAAAGGTGTTACAGCTTTCCTATCAGTACAGAGGACGACCTATGACTTCTGTGGAGATTACAGTCTACAAGGCCATGAGAGCCAAAGATATGAGATGGTGGTTTCAATGAACAAGGTCAACACTGTTGATAATCGGTACTTAATTTATATCTATCACCTTGACCCACTGAAATCTGATGAAACGTGATTCATTCACTCAGGCTGACAAATTATACACATGTCTGTTCAGCAGCCTAATTTAGCATGACTTTATAAAACCAGGTTCTAAATTACAGGTGGATTAATGCTCAGACTACCACGTGCTGATCAGTAGCATGACAAGATTTCGAATGAACTTGTTATATCTGTACAGCTGCGTCCTGGAATAACTTCTTCTATGTAGCATTGAACTTCAGTGATGTTAAACTCTTGTACTATACTTAAACTATTATTTATGAAAAAATAAATAAATAATCAATAGCAGCACAATAAACTGATCTTGCTCTGTGTGGAGAAGATACTACAGACTGAGAAGTCACCGAAACTGACTGATATGCCTATTTATCTATTCAACTTTATCTGTAATATTCTTGAATTTTTGCAATAAATGTGGATAAAAACTGAATCTAAAAGGCACTCAAAGTAACTCAAAAACAACTAAATCTGGATTGATTTGATGAGGACTTTACTTCTAACTGGTGCTCACACATTTTCTGTTATCTGGACCTCATCATACATTTTATATCATATAAAAGTTGGGCATAGCCTTTGGGTCTGAAGAGTCATGCATTCTTTCTGACAGCAAGCAGAGGGTTTCTATAGGTTTCTAGAGGATTTCTATACAGTCAGAATCCTTTTTGCAACCAGAAGAGTCACCCTCTTCTGGTTGCAAAAAGGATTCTGACTGTATAGAAATCAGTGATATGCCGTCAGGGCCAGCAAGGCCTTCTCTGCTGGCCTAAACTTTATCAGAATTACTGATTTTTGTTGTAAAATTTTCCCATTAATCTTTTTACATTATTCACAATTGTCTATTCTCTTCATTTAATAGTGTCTCTGGGCTGTGGTGCCGCCAGCAGTGTATGTTTATATTAGAGCTTTTATCCAATCATATTTCAGCCATCATGTGTTGCCAGGATCGAAGAAATCTGCCCTGAGGCCTTCAGAATCAAAAGTGCAGGCGCCTGTAGCTTAAAATGTGTTGCAATGAAACTGTTGCTTTAACCAATCTGATTTAGAGTTGGTGGTCCCAGGGCCAGCTAGCTAGCGTTCGATAACGTCAGCACTTTCACGTTCTCTGATTGGATGGTCAGAGAGCTAAGCCAAAGCTAGCGGTTCCTATCTGTAGCGACCTGCACAAGCTAAAACGTTATTGTAAAGGTATTACTTTTTTTCCCCTTCTAGTTAAGCAAGCAGACATTTTCAGCCCTACAGAGAATTAAAACTTATGTCACAAACACTGGACAGATTTGATGGACACACTTTCATCTACAGTATATATTGCTTGTTCTCACCTGATGGTCCACAGTCCCAGAAGAGGCCCAAACAAACCTCATTTCCTGTTAATAATGTTCCTGGTGTATGTGTGTTTAGGTCTCTTGATATTATTGTGTTTAGGCTGAGATTATATTCTCTGGGTATGCAATAGCCTTATCATTGTAGACTGGAGTAACCACAAGTTCTACAATCTGTTTTACAAACTATCTTGTCTTTAATATATTTCATGTTCAAAAACACTTGCAGGGATTCAAGAAAAGGGACGTTCTGTTCAGGGTTGTTCTCTTTAGCATCCAGAACCTATTTTACTGGTTCAACAATAATCAAGTTTTCCTTGTAAGACTCAGACTCAACCTGGGAATTGTGCTTCTGAAAAATATTAACTCGAATGACATCAGTGTTGGGAATCAAGAAAGCCATAAGTGTGAAGCTCTAGCAAAAATCATTGACTGCTGTGTTTGGTTAAGATGTTTTCACTTTAACACAGCTGCTGCAAAAGTGGGTTAATTTACATTTGGAATGTCTTTTGGGCCATCAACACTGCAATCTAGTTATGCATTAGAGTTGGCCTCATTTCTGTCCTGTCTTCACCTTAAATGCTCTGATTCCGGGGGGGGGGGGCATTGAAAGACTTACTTATTTAAAATGAAACAATGAACACAAATTGTGGATTCTGCAATTGTAGAATGTAAATATTCTAGAGATATTTATTTTAAAGTTAAAGTCTGAAAACATACAACCTAGTTTTTCTTCAGGTGCAGTGATGTGAGCCCAGTAATTCCTTCCAGAAACAAGACTCTTAAAAGGACATGGCAAGGAAATGGCACCTAAATGTACAGCTCTCTGATTCATAATTACGAATTCTAGTGCGATGCAATCTAATCAAATGGATTTCTTTAAGTTGGACGGCCAGTTTCTAAAAGCCAGTGTCCCTTTATCTTTTGTCACACATATCAACATGCAACACACTCTAATTTACACTAACATACTCTAATTGAATTTCCCTTCTGGGATGAATAAAGTATTTTTCATTTCATTTCATTTACAAGATTTTGTGATGTTCTGGGAAAAGGAAACATTTTAATCTGATGATAAAGAACAAAATTGATTCTTTATATTTTAGTAGAATTACAAATGATTTTATTTTGTTTACTTTGGCGAGGACTAACATTTTGAATTTACAGTGCCACACCCCAGGACTCCTCAACTGATCTACTAAAATATCCATCTACCCAGCACTGCCATGCCACGAACAGAGCATTTAAAAAAAAAAAAAAAGTTTTTTAATCATTCTTACAACCAAAACCTGAGCATACAGCGAGAGCACTGACTCAAGGGGACATGCAGTGTCTGAGTTATTTGTCAATCTGCAGCAACAAAGAGCAAATGAGAACAAAACAAACAGGACATACTGAAGATTGTGATTGTGAGGCTGATGGCATTTCTTTCATGGAAGCAGTTAACTGGTATGTCAAAATGTAAATAACACTATGTTATTTTTGGATGTAAATTTCCACTGCAGTTATATTCACCCACAAAAAATGTCAGTGTGGTGATGGACTGCAGCACCACACATGCATACAAATCACTGCAATGGTGCATCATGTATTTAGTTAAAATAACTTCATATGGAGACACGACATACAGCAGAAGCTCTGTCAAAGTGCAACGGCAGCAAGAGCAACAATCTACAACTAATAATACTTAAAAACTCTTGGATATGGATTTATAGTCCTCCCTTAAACTGTGGACAGCTGAAGAAAAACTAAGTCATATGCAGCATTGGGATGAATGATGTCGGCTGAACCGGGTCGGACCTGCAGGGGGCGGTATCACACCAAGGCGCCTCAAAACTGCCCTAACGCGAAGAAAAAGAAGAAGAAAACAGCATGCTCGTCAGCGTGAGTGAAATTTGCAGTTGAACGGGCAAGGGACAGACGAGACAAACCAACCAGCAATGCTGTCGGTAAATCTCCTGCGCACATTACGAGGCTGCGGTGTTCCGCGGTCGTTCTCGAGCCTCCGGCCGGCGGCGTTGACATACTCTGCGCGGCTCTCCGTGTCCGGTGTCAGAGGAGAGCAACCGCTAACGCTCCACGCTGTCACAAGGTCATTCCCCATCTTACACAAGGTATCTCACGCACACCACAAACACACGGTCATGGATAGTGTGTCCAGCCCGTTGTTGTGTTACTGGACATGTTTAAAGGACACGAACAATGGCCAAACCCGTCAGAACGAGCTGTCCGGTAGCTCGCTCACCTCGTGCTGAGGGAATTCATGCAGGGCCTTCCACATCTAGTCCTGCGCGGCCCAGTTTAACAACAACAGCTCCCCTCAGACATATGATGTGTTACATTGTTGGTTTAGAAACCCGTTAAAGTGACGGTATTCTGTCATTCAGACACAGGTCACTTCAACGTTTTGTTCCTTAGAGCTCCTTTCAGACAAACCCACCACAGGAACGCTCGCGATATTTGTCATTCACGCGATACTGGACAGTGATTTGTAATACATGACAATTAACAAATTAGCAAAAGATGAAACTAAACTAACAGTTGCCGATCAAGCTGTCTAAATAACTGACAGCCCAGTTTGTTTATGAGTTCCTAAATACTGAAACTTAATAATGTGGGATGACAATCTCACTACTACTTTACCAACAGTAAATAAATGCCCCCTTTAACAAATGATTTAACGGCAGCTGACAAACTGTGACTCTGTGAATGACAGCTCACCTGTCTGAGGTGAAGAAAAGTTTCCAGTGTGATTTACGAATAGATCCTGATCAGTCTCCATGACCGTTCTAATGTATAGGATAAGGAAGGAAATTACTATTGGTTTGCCAATAGCACTGGAGATGCTCATTTGGATACTACAGCTGTCTGGAGCTGCAGGTATTTAATAAACAAAGAGGAAACACTCATAAGCCAACTTGATCTGCATCCTCAACACTAGTACTTTTCTTTTATACTTAAACATTTCCAGTGTGACAACTACAAAACAACAGAAAGTTGATTTTACTGTATTTTGTTTGTCAGATGTTCAGACAGTCAGGCAGAAGATTTTTTTCACAACAACAACAACAGTTATGCCATAAGTTAAACCTCTATGAGACATTTAGCTGCTGTTGACATGGCGTATTGTGTATGATTGCAGTTACACATGAACTGGGAGGAGTATGACTGCATTATATGGAGTGCAGTTTATATGATAAAAGCCACTTTGTGGCAGAGATGTACAGTGCATCTGGAAAGTATTCACAGCACTTCCCTTTTACTACGTTTTGTTATGTTACAGCCTTATTCTAAAATGGATTAAATTCATTTTTCCCTCAAAATTCTACACAAAATACACCATAAGGACAACTTGAAAAATGTTTTTTTTTTAGATTTTTGCAAATTTATTAAAAAATAGAAAACTAAGAAATCAAATGTACATAAGTATTCACAGCCTTTGCTCAGTATTTAGTTGATGCATGTTTGGCAGCAATTACAGCCTCAAGTCTTTTTGAATATGATGTCACAAGCTTGGCACACCTATCTTTGGGCAGTTTTGCCCATTCCTCTTTGCAGAACCTCGCAAACTCCATCAGGTTGGATGGGAAGCATCAGTGCACAGCCATCTTCAGATCTCTCCTGAGATGTTCAATTGGATTTAGGTCGGGGCTCTGGCTGGGCCACTCAAGGACATTCACAGAGTTGTCCTGAAGCCACTCTTTTGAGATCTTGGCTGTGTGCTCAGGGTTGTTGTCCTGCTGAAAGATGAACCGTCGCCCCAGTCTGAGATCCAGAGCGCTCTGGAGCAGGTTTTCATCCAGGATGTCTCTGTACATTGCTGCATTCATCTTTCCCTCAATCCTGACTAGTCTCCCAGTTCCTGCCGCTGAAAAACATCCCCACAGCATGATGCTGCCACCACCATGCTTCACTGTAGGGATGGTATTAGTCTGGTGATAGGCGGTGCCTGGTTTCCTCCAAACATGACGCCTGGCATTCAAGCCAAAGAGTTCAATCTTTGTCTCATCAGTCCAGAGAATTTTGTTTCTCATGGTCTGAGAGTCCTTCAGGTGGATTTTGGCAAATTTTGGGCGAGCTGCCGTGTGCCTTTTACTCAGGAGTGGCTTCCGTCTGGCCACTCGACCATAGAGGCCTGATTTATGGATTACTGCAGAGATGGTTGGCCTTCTGGAAGGTTCTCCTCTCTCCACAGAGGAACGCTGGAGCTCTGACAGAGTAACCTCTCTTGGTCCCCTCTCTGACTAAGGCCCTTCTCCCCCAATCGCTTAGTTTAGATGGCCAGCCAGCTCCAGGAAGAGTCCTGGTGGTTCCAAACTTCTCCCATTTGCGGATGATGGAGGCCACTGTGCTCATTGGGACCTTCAAAGCAGCAGAATTTTTTCTGTATCCTGCCCCAGACTTGTGCCTCGAGACAATCATGTCTCTGAGGTCTACAGACAGTTCTTTCGACTTCATGCTTGTTTTGTGCTCTGACATGCACCGTTAACTGTGGGACCTTATATAGACAGGTGTGTGCCTTTCCAAATCATGTCCAACCAACTGAATTTGCCACAGGTGGACTCCAGTTAGGCTGTAGAGACATCTCAAGGATGAGCAGTGGATGCACCTGAGCTCAATTTTGAGCTTCATGGCAAAGGCTGTGAATACTTATGTACATATGATTTCTTAGTTTTTTATTTTTAATAAATTTGCAAAAATCACAACAAAAAAACACTTTTTTCAAGTTGTCCTTATGGTGTATTTTGTGTAGAATTTTGAGGGGAAAAATGAATTTAATCCATTTTGGAATAAGGCTGTAACATAACAAAATGTGGTAAAAATGAAGCGCTGTGAATACTTTCCAGATGCACTGTACACACTCGCTCATAAGAAAATCCCATTACATTGCTAAACATATACATGCAGACAAAACAAACAAACAAATAAGGTTTTATTGTGTGTTTTTCTTCTGCGTTTTTTTTGTAGGTGCAGTCCTACTGTCCGTCCATCCGCTGTCTCTCCACGGCGCCCCACTCCAGTCAGGGGAACCTCATTTACTCTGGCAGCCTGGGCAGTTCTATTCGGGGTCAGTTAATGTGTCACATCTTAAGTTTTGCTGAAATTGTATCACACCATATGTCTTGGTTACAGGTGTCTAAGATCAAAAATGATCCAAATCTCACACACTGTCCATCATTTGATTTCACCTTGACAGCTCAACATTTCAATCCCCATGCCTTCATCAGGCAAAATTCAAGCAAATCAAATTCATTTTTTTGTTTATACTTTGCCTAATATTGATAAAAAATATTCATAATTGGTTTAATAATTATCGGTTTGGGGTTAACAGATGAGTGTACCACCAATTCATTTTCATTCTTTTAGGAAATCAGTTTTTTGTGATACCTTGTTGTATGTTAAATTTCTCCACAACGTGCAGCCTTAACTGCAGTGACAAAGTGTGTCATTCAGTTGTGTATACAGTCCTCCTCAAATTTATTCATACCCTCTCATTAAAGACGGAAAAAAACAGCTGTCGCTGAAAAAAGTTAAAATTGACAAAAGTAATAATAAATAAAATAA